TCAAAGCTCAACTTCTTGTGGCTGCTAGAATGTGCGCTCTTATAGGCTGATCCTACTCCATCTGGCCGATCGCCTTTAAGACTGACCCAGACAAATACTGTTCTTAGATGCTGTGCTGATTGGCATACTCGTACACTTCGGACACGGGCCCTCTCGCGAGCGGTTATGCACTCGTTCGGCAGTTAACTTCCTCCGCTCTATTTTACACTACTTCTGTACGGAATACCTGTTCCTCTCATTTGGCGTCTCCCTTCTGCTTTTCCTCTACGGAACCAGGCCTGAGAATTGCACTGGTAAGGGTTTTACCTATTAACTTAACCCACATTGACAATTTTTTCTTCACGTATTTCAGAAGTGTCTGCATATTTTGATGTTTGAGGGAAAAGAGGGAGTGTGGTTGATGCTGCGAGACGTCTACTATCACTCAAAACTTAATCGAATTCGATGGTCGAAATAGCATCTACATCTTGTGACAACTTGACTGATGCCCCAGTGCCCTGTTTGACTTAGCAAAGAACGCCATCAGAGGTCGTTAACGTCAGTAGAGGCTGAATTCTTTCAAAGGACATACCTTCAAATGAACAGGACAAGACGGATAGTTGATTGTATTGGCGGGGTTCGAAAAGCAGATGCCTCTATCAGTGGTTTCCGAATCGATTGACACTGGCAGGGGGCTGCGAGTCTCCCCCGAGGAGTCCTGGGCAGTTTGAACAGCCTCCTCCATATCCCTTACCGTCCTGGCCCTTGCCTCCGTGGCATTACTGTGCAGGTAAGGAGGCATCTGGAAGGCGAATTGGGACGTATCCGAGGGCCGTTTGATGTCAAGTGTACCAGCATCTGGCTGGGGTTTTTGGGAACCGTCCACTGCGGACGAAGCTGCGCAGCGTTGGCGGAGATCTAACAAGGTAGGCAGAAAAACTTACAGATTTGATGAAAATCTGAATTAAAGCTGAGGCACTTAAAGGGTTTCTAAGTCAGAATTTGTCATAAGATTGGAATCCGTTCAAACATTAGAGAAAGCGCAATAAGTCTTTAACGGCCAGATGTAAATAATGGGACTTGGACAGCTCTATAACAACAGCGAACTAACACGTAGTCTCGAATCTCTAGGACTTTAATTTCGTCGAGTATTGATCGAACAGGTGTGCGCATGGGTACTTCAAGCGGTGATGCAGCAGCAAATCGAATGAGAACTTGAAAAAGGCTAGAAATCCGAACACAAGACGATACCTAGTAATAAATAAAATGCTAATCCTAATCGGATGCATGCTTAAACAGGAAGAAAAGTCTCTTCTCGACCGATCCACGTTAGTTATCACAAGCTAAAGCACGCGAAAATATGCTACTAAGTCTTAAATTTGACTTAAATAATTCGGTTTTCTGGGAAAGAGGACTTACGTCGCATTCGCTGCTGTTGCATACTGTTCACTTAGAAATAAAAACGTTCTGTGCAAAGCCTAAGACTCGCTGCCCCAACAGATCTGTTTAATATATCAAGGACTCAGATGAATGCATCCACACGGACCCAATGGTATTCCAACGCCAGTAACCACGAAATAAATGAAAGCCGTCATGAACAGGCTAGCAAACCTCGTTGATGAACGTTTACTTATCGCTAGCAGAACTCACTCGTCTCGTTGAGACTTACAGTAGATTCCCTATCTCATGAAATGTCCCCCGGAATTCTGAAATGCGTTTTCGATTCAAACATATTAATTACCTATGGTTGTTATAATGACAATCGTAAAGCCTAATCTCAATATATTTTAGTCACGACAGGATGCCAACTTTTTAAAGAGCTTATTCCTGACAGTTAATAAAACTTATATACTGCAAAAAGTGGCTACTTAAGTAGTATGCATTTTCATCATGGATTTTGACTGCCTTTATAAATTCAAATATATTCTATGGCAAACATGCTCGAATAAATTATTTCTTGAAGTCTTTTGGTAGAAAATTGCGCCTTCTTTAAATTTTATGCTTAAGGAAGGAGTATCTTTCGGTTTTAAAAAAGTTTCTGATTATGAGCTTTTTTACGATTGTGAGGCGGTCATTCATTATACATCACATCCGTTAATTTAGTAATGCTGCCTATAACGTGTTCAGCAACTTCCACATCTGTTGCAATATTTCATGAGAATTGTGTGACTTCTTCCCCAAGCCGGGGGCAAAAACGTACTTTTCTTTAAACAGGATGCACACAGCGCGCAGTTTGTATGGCTTGAACTCAAGTGTAGCGGTCCGTAGGGTTCAAAATTATTCAGCAATTTAGAAACTTCTTTAAAACCGAAAAATACTCCTTTAAGTATAAAATTTAAAGAAGGCGCGATTTTCTGCCAAAAGACTACAAGAAATAATTTCTTCGTGCATGTTTTCCATAGAATATATTTGAAGTTATAAAGGCAGTCAAAATCCATGATGAAAATGCATACTACTTAAGTGGCCACTTTTTACAGTAAATACTTTTTATTAGCTGTCAGAAAGAAGCTCGTTAAAAAGTTGGCATCCTGTCGTGACTAAAATATATTGAGCTTAGGCTGTACGATTGTCAATATTACAACCATAGGTAATTAATATGTTTGAATCGAAAACGTATTCCAGCATTCCGGGGGACATTTCATGGGATAGGGAATCTCCTGTACTCTCGAGCCCCGCTAGCAGCCACGCAGCGGCTAGCAATAAAGACGGATAAACTTTGCTGACAAAGACAAGCGAGAATGGTCCTTTCTGACTCATTAG